GACATTTTGACAATATTTATTCTTCCAATCCATGAGCAGGGAATGTCTTTCCATTTCTTTAAATCTTCTTCAATTACCTTCATAAGTTTTCTATAGTTTTCAGCATACAGATCTTTTACATCTTTGGTCAGGTTTATTCCTAGGTATTTTATGCTTCTTGGTGCAATTGTGAATGGGATCAGTTTCTTTATTTGTCTTTCTGTTGCTTCATTGTTAGTGTATAAGAATGCAACTGATTTCTGTACATTGATTTTGTATCCTGCAACTTTGCTGAATTCATGTATCAGTTCTAGCAGACTTTTGGTGGAGTCTATCGGATTTTCCATGTATAATATCATGTCATCTGCAAAAAGCGAAAGCTTGACTTCATCTTTGCCAATTTTGATGCCTTTGATTTCCTTTTGTTGTCTGATTGCTGATGCTAGCACTTCCAACACTATGTTAAACAACAGTGGTGAGAGTGGACATCCCTGTCGTGTTCCTGATCTCAGGGAAAAATTGAGCAATGTTTTAAACTTCTTTCAAGTCCACTGAAAGGAAGGGAACATGTAGTGCACAGTAATGGTGTGCAGTGATGAACACAACATGACTTTTGAATGATGCTGTTCTCTACCACAACTTACAGATGCTCTCATAACTGTGGTTCACAACCCCTCCTTGTACATTGCAATCAGTATGTTCTTTTCACAATCCTGATGCCCAGGCCAAATCAGAAATTCTAACATAATTCACCCAGAGTGGGCTTTAAAAATGCCCTCATTGGGGCGCCTGGGTGGCGCAGTCGGTTAAGCGTCCGACTTCAGCCAGGTCACGATCTCGCGGTCCGTGAGTTCGAGACCCGTGTCAGGCTCTGGACTGATGGCTCGGAGCCTGGAGCCTGTTTCCGGTTCTGTGTCTCCCTCTCTCTCTGCCCCTCCCCCGTTCATGCTCTGTCTCTCTCTGTCCCAAAAATAAATAAACGTTGAAAAAAAAAATTAAAAAAAAAAAAAGTGCCCTCATTGATTCTCATGTGCAAGCGAGGTTAAGAATCAATGGTGGGAAGCAAGTCTGACAGATGTGAAGGACTCCCATGGTCCAGACCATCCTGGCTACTTGGCACCACATTCCATGAGCCCTGCCCCAGTCAAGCTTTGCTCCATTTATAGGCAATGGGGCCTTCATGAATGGATATTCCTACTGGGAGAAGCGATAGGATATTTAGCATTGAGGATGGCCATACAATAAAATGTGTAATATCCATTCAAGATGATCTTGCAAACTCAACATACACAAAATTAACTGTATCACTTTTCAAATGGTTGCCATAATGGCTAAGAACCTGTTTTAAGTTTTAAATGCTCATCCTTTTACTTAAAATTTAAATCAAAAAAGAACACAAAACAACATGAGTTTGTGTCCAGTCTGGTACAGAGTAGACACTCAATAGATATTCTTTTGAGTGAATGATGGATGAATGTTTCCATACTCTGGTCTTGACAGCTTACAAAGTTTAAGGAATATGAGATATATTAATATAAAAGTAGTATTTATATGTTTAAACTCTTACTCTCCTTCATGTATCTTGCCTGCTTTGCTTCTATTGTCAGTAGGGCTTCATTTGTTGGTTTTCATATGATTTTTAACTTTTGCAGATCCCACTGAAATTAAACGCTCTAAGTATTATTCAACCAGAAAAACCCATTGTTCTCAAGGTTGAGCTGAGAGATGGGAGTGTGAATGGAGCTTGACTTTCCCTAAGGACTTCCCCTTTGTTCTTCAAGAACCTGTGTCCCAGAATACCAGAGGCCTCCATTTACTTTGTGAGTACAACCCAGAAATGAAGATGGGCTTCATGAAGTGCCTGTGTTGGATGACTAGGGATTCCATAGCTTTCTCAGTCTCTGTGTGGAGCATTATATCTTGTGGAGAGTAAAGGAGGTGACTAATAAGTGCCAGACATGTAGACTCAGCCTATCTGGCTCCCATAGACCACCCCCAGTTATACCATCTACTTCCCTAAGCACTGATCAAGAATAAAAATTTCTCAACAATTTTATCAACAAACTTTCATGAAACAAGAATTTTTGTAGTAGTTGTTTAGTGACATATCACATGTCTCATTTTCGATATTCTGTATTAAGTATGACACTGATCATGTCAATAAACATCTCTTTACAAAAGTATTAACTGATACCTTCTTGCACATACAGAGGGAATTGTACAACTGATGCGTGAGAGCCAGTGACTGAATGTTTTTCACCATCACAATCACTGAGTGGGTGGGATTGTTTAGAACTCCAGCATAATATGTTAAGATAGGTGAGAGTCGATCGATCCACTGTGACTTTACCCACTGCTCATAAAATATATGGAAAGTATATTCATAATTTAGTTCTACTGTTTTTAGAGCACATGTTTTTTAGAGCATTCAATTGAGGTAGTTAGTATTATTATTAGTTTTATTTTAATGTTTTTATCTCATCTGCCCTGATGTTCTGTTAGACAGGGAACATATTTTCTCTTCATGTTCCAGCCTCAGTTCTCAAATGTCCTGACACAATGAACATTGAACAAGAGATGGTTGATTGGTTAGTTGATTGGACAGAAAAGCTAAAAGTATTTGTCCATTTCAGTTGGTATCAGAAACTACACAGGATTCTGCTTTTCCTTCCCTCCACACCCACCCTTCTTTCCCTTCTCCACTCTCTTTTTTTTAAAGTTCATTTATTTATATTGAGAGAGAGAGAACGTATGCACAGGGGAGGCAGAGAGAGAGAGAGAGAGAGAGAGAGAGAGAGAGAGAGAGAATCCCAATCAGGCTCCAAGCTGTCAGTTCAGAGCCTGACACGGGGATTGATCTCACAAACCATGAGATCATGACCTGAGCCAAAATCAGGAGCTGGATGCTTAACTGACTGAGCCACCCAGTAGCCCCTCCCTCCTCTCTCTCTCTTCCATTGCCTGTCCTTCCTGGATAACTCAATCCTAAAGCCAATAGGTGAAGAACAGCCATATTGGCAGCCACACATTGGGCATCAGGGACAGAGAATGGAGGCACAGTGACTCCAAGACAGAGACAGAATAGCATAGGGAGGGTGTCCACATGAAGAAGCAGCCTGCCATGAGTGTGGAAGCCCAAGCTCAGTGAGAAGGGTGTCCACACAGAGGGATAGCCTAGTCCAAAGCCAGAGCCTAAATATGGTGTGGACAACCCAAGTAATATGAGGGGGGTATCCGTGAGTGTTAGGGATGGAATGGCTATTAGTTACATAAAGGGGAATTGATTAAGGGAGTAAATATATTAAGGATAAATAGAAGCCAGGTTTCTTACTGTTGGAGAAGAGAGTCACTGATGGAAAGGGAGAAAACCAGAATGAGATTATGTATTCAGAGATTGGAACTGAATGTATCGGTGAAAAATCCTGCTTTTCTAGAGAGATAGATGATAAGTAGATTGATATAAAGATAAATAGATGTGTGTGCCTGTATGAAAACACATATCCCCTACCTGTCTGACAGTTCTTAGAAGCAGTAACACTGTTAGAGCATTGAACATAATTTGTGCCCAGATCTTGGCTTATAAGCATCATTTTCCACTGAAAAGACTAGGGCTTTTCAGAGAAATGGCCAATTCCAGGCTGGGGGAGCACATGATGAGCCTGGAGCATCTTGTCCTGCCCAGTGATTGGGACATGTCCACAAGATAAGGAGCCAGCCTGAGGGGCTTCACCGACCAGTCAGGCACAATTTAGACATCAGGAAAACTAACAATAGGAAGGGATTAAGACCCATTGAATAAAATAGGAAGACACGAGTACCCACAGGTGTAATAAATACAGGATTGATTACAATTGATGAGGACACTGATGTGGTTTCAAAGTACTACCGCTCAAACACCCATGAATTGCCAGAAGGAAAGAGCAGGTCACAGAGCAGAGACCTGGTGAATGAGTGAGCATTATCAGGAACAGGAAGAAGTGATGACAGGTCACATGATAAGATGCATTAAGAAGAACTCAGTGTCACCTCTGGGATATTCTTGCCAAAGAGACAAACCTGAAAGAAATCCTGAAAAAAGTCAGACAAACCCAAATAGGAATATCTACTCCTAATCTGTACCTGGTGTGCAATCTTCAACAAAGTCAAGGTCATGAAAGTGATTTAGAAGAAGAAAAGAAGAAGGAGGAGGAAGAGGAGGGGGAAGATGAGGAGGAGAAGGAGGAGGAGGAGGAGAAACAAGCCCATATTGGAGTCACTTGCCTGCCAACCCCAACTCACAGTAAACCAAGACTAATAAGAGTTCAACATATCCTAGGAAGGTGATCTTTTAACAGTCTGGCTGAAATTTCCTGACAGGCACTAGTGAGTCATGTGCAGGATAGAAACCTGTGGGTCCTTCCCCCAGAGAAGGGGTCCTGTCCTGAAACAATTTTCCTTTCAAGCACTTCCTGCCCCACCCTCCTTCCTCTAAAACCCTGCATCTTGTACACCTCCTGGGAGCATCTGTCTGCCTGTCAGATGGATGCTACCAATTAATGAATTGCTCAATAAAACCAATGAGTTCTTCACCTTGACTAGCTGGAATTTTGCTTTCAAAAAAAGCCAGAGACACACTAAGGAAGTGTTCCAGACTGAACTACAGAGACTAAAGAGGGGTGACATGGAAAATCAATGCATGGGTTAGGTCCTTTGCTATAAAGGACATTATGGGAACAGTGGGGGAATTAAGGGTTCTAACAGTTACATGGCAGTAATGTGTCAGTGTCCATGCCCTGACTTTGATGGAGAATTTTTTGTAGGAATTACAGTAGATTATGAAATATCACTTCAGCATTTACTCTGAGATTGGTCAGGAACATAGTTCTTGAAACAGACTCTTCTGGAAGCTTGTGCTTGTTTTTAAGAACAGAGGGTCACAGGGGCGCCTGGGTGGCGCAGTCGGTTAAGCGTCCGACTTCAGCCAGGTCACGATCTCGCGGTCCGTGAGTTCGAGCCCCGCGTCAGGCTCTGGGCTGATGGCTCAGAGCCTGGAGCCTGTTTCCGATTCTGTGTCTCCCTCTCTCTCTGCCCCTCGCCCGTTCATGCTCTGTCTCTCTCTGTCCCAAAAATAAATAAACGTTGAAAAAAAAAAAAAATTAAAAAAAAAAAAAAAAAAAAAGAACAGAGGGTCACAAAAACACCTTGGGCTACACAGCTCTCCCCCTCCCTTCCCTTAGTCTCACTTGTACACTTATTTAGTACAGGAGGCAGCATCACACAGTAATTGGGAGATGGGAAGCTCTGAAGCTGGAGCCTCTGGGGTTTGAATCCCAGCTCAGTCAGTTTGAGTCTTGACCAATCTATGGCTTTGGGTAAATGAGAAAAAGGTGCCTCTTTGCATAACTGGGCCCACAGGGCTTGGGCCTTCCACCTCTAAAGACACTCGTATGTGGGACCTTGAACTAATTACTTAACACCTTACTGCCTTGGTAATTAGTGCCTCAGAGTCTATAAAACGGGGGTAATGCCAGTGCCTATCTGAAGTGATGATGGAATCAGATGATGTGTGTGTGAGGTACTTAGGGCACATACCAGGGAGCACGCAGCGAGCATGTAATCAATGTCAGCTATTACCTTCGTGGCTGTATTATCTTCAGTCCTTAGGAGGCCATGTTGGCTTTGACATTTGGGCTTCAGCCTTGTCAACTCCAGCTTCCATCTGCCATTTTAGAAAGTAATCACATACATCATTCAGAGAGCTTTAACTATGAAGTTAGTGGTGTGTCAGCTGATGCTGTTCAGGAATTTTCCAAAGAGCAATATCAACAACCCCATTCTAGAAGTGTCTTTGTCATGTGAAAATTAATCATGTGACCCCCACTGAAAAGGAGTGGGGAGGTCTGGCAGGGGGCACTGTCACACCCTACCACTCAGACCCAACTGGAAGAGATGGACTTGACCTTGCACTACTTTATTATCCCAGCTGCAGGAAGAAGAGCTTTCCTTGTCACTATAACCCAGCAACCCTTCTCCACAACAAGAACTCTGCCAATGAGAAGACACCACACTTCAAACTCCCAGGTTACTCCATGCACTTCAGTTTATAACCCCCTTCCCAGCCTCCCCTTTTCTCCTGAAAAAAAGTATACCTCATCTTCATTCTTCAAACTTGGCCTAAGTTTTGCTACAGCTTGTTTGTCCTGGATTGCAATTGTCTTTTTTTCCCAAATAACACCCTTGTATGTGGTCAAACAACTGGCAGTTTTCATTTTAAAAGCTAAGAGTCATCACAACTAAGCATGGATGGTCTTGAGGGCAGGTCTGCACTGCAGTGACAGGAGGGAAGCCTTCCCACTGCGTTCAGTGGGCTTTCTCCAGTCCTCCCTTAAGATTGCTTTTCTGGTGCCAGAGTTCCGACCAGTCTGTCTGGTCATGTCCGGGCTGTTCAGTGTCCAGGATGCATGAAAAGCTAGGATGAGATGTGATTATCTCTTCAGGGGTCAAAAATAGGCAGGACCTGGAAATGCCAAGTCAACATTAGCTAATTTAGAGATTTGTTTTCTCTCCTGTGACAGACTGACTTCTGCAGAGTAGTTGAGTGTCCATGGGGCTGGAAAGCCCTGTTGAGTATGTGAACTTCCATATTCACTCCTTTAGGCCAAGAATTTTTTCAATCCAAGTAATCTTGTGTAAAGATGCTAATACATTTTTTGTAAGTGTAGTATTATAAGTCTGTATGTAAGTATATAGGATTCTATCATCTATTTAC